CTGTCTTCCTGCCCCACCACCCCTCTTCCCACCTAGCTGTGTGATGGCTTTTTGTTTCTTGTGGTACTGGGAGCACAGCAAATAACATCTCTGACAGGCAGGACCAGGAAAGACCCCCCAGCAGCCCAGGCATTTCTGATTTACTCAAGGACTTTGCAGGGAGAGGGGTAGGAGAAGAAGGTAAATACCTTTGATAAGCCCAGGGACAGGCAATGAGCTGGCATGGGAAGAAAGCAAACATCTTGTGTAGACCCAAGGGAGAGGCATGAGGGAGAAGAGGTACTGAGGATCGGGGTCAGGGTGACCTCTCCCTCAACTTTCCTTGCCGACAGGACATAGCCTAAGTTCCTCCAGAGATGGTTTCTCCCTGGGACTGTGTGCCAGGCTGGAGAACCCTGGCTGTGTCGGCCTGGTGCTGCCTCTGGGACAAGGGCTTCTTGCAGTTCTGCTTTGGAATGTAATAGTTAATAAAAGCAAAGGTGGATAATTTGCTAATCAAATTAACTTTGTAAAGTTAGTTAGTGGTTAGTTTTGAGTTACAGGTGTCAAACCACAATATTATGTTACTCTGGCAAGCTATATCTTGTTATGTTAAGCATGTTCTGAACGTAAGCTTTAAATGTGCCTGTAAAAATGTGGGTGAAAGGAGTCATCCAGAGGAGCAGAGGGACGAGAACCTGTCATCTTCCCGCCTTCATCCGGGACCTGCCGCTGTCATCCAAGGACCATCTGAAGGGGAGGGAATAGCGGCACATATAAAAGAGCGGTGCTAGCCTTTTGGCACGTTAACTGTTTGCAGAGCAGGAGACTCCCCTGGTCGCCCAGTGCTGTTTTGCTCATTCACCTTTAATAAAATTTAATATTTTAAATTTTATATTTATGGTCTGTTGACTATAACAGGAGCACACTTCATCTGGCAAATTTGAGGCCTGCTCAGAGACTGAGACCATCTGGGTCATTCCCCCCTCTGCCCTGGGAATCCAGCTGTCCAAGGTGACTTGCTTTCCTAGCAGGACTGAGTTTGTCCTCCAGTGAGGTGTGGAGGGTGCCACTGGCAGAGAGCCAGTGAAAGCAGCTGTACAGTGACATTTCATTCACTCGTGCTCTGCCAGGGACACTTCTCTGCTGCTCCGCTCACCAGCTGAAGAGATCCAGGCCACTGCCATCCTCTCCACTGCGCCCTCCGGTGTTTCTGCTGTGAAGAACCTCCACGTGGTCTTTCCTGCATGGGGAGAAATCTGCCAAGGATGGCTGGGGAGCCTGATGAGCTCAGGGATGAAGGTCTGGGAGACTGGCAAGGGTGAAAGGAACACAGGGAATAAATGACACAGGTCTTCACTCTGCCAAGCCCTGCTGGCAACACCGTTCTCTCTTCCTCCTCCTCCTTCTTTGTGTGCCTGCAGCTCTACCTGAGGACAGGGGAGGAGACTCAAGGGAAATGGACTAGGATCCCTGGTGGTACTTCTGTTCATGATGCTGGGAAGGAGAAGGCACCAGCCTTCTGTGCGTCACCCAACTCAAGGTTCCTCTGAAGAAGAAAGTTCATTGAAAGTCCTGAAATAACTTGTATGCAAGTGCTAAGCAGGAGATAGGATCAGCAGGTGGAGACTGTGATATAGTGCTGTGTTTTCGGTTGGGTACGAGAACAATGTTGATAACACAGTTGTAGTATTGACTGTATTGTGCATTAATTTGGTTGGTTAAGTTTTATTCCTCTCCCCCTTTTCCCTTTCATTACTGTTATTATTATTATTACTGTTGGTTTTTATTGTCATTGTTATGATGATGATGATGATGATGATGTTTTTAATCTCAATCAATGAGTTTTACCTTTCTCCTGTTCATATCCCCATCTCATGGTGTGGGGGCAAGTGTGTCGTGAGTGAGCGGCTACCTGAGACCTAACTGGTCACTGGGGTTAAACCACAACAACTTGCATTCCAGACAACATCTCCCTTTTTCCATAGCTACCACATGAGCTTCAGCACCCATGACCAAACCTGTGCTTCTCACTCCATTAAGGAATTCCCAGCTTCTGTCTTTGATGGATTGTGGAAATACACCTGAGCATCAGATTCCCGTGAGCACTGGCATTCTCTTTTGCTATTCAGCAGCACTGGAGACAGAGAAGTGCAGGCAAATCAGGGCAGCCCTAATCTTGCAGCAATCAGCAGGAAATGCAGCTGATGAGCCAAAAAAGATACTAGGAAAGCCCAAAAATCTCTTTTGAAAATTTCTCCTTCCTTCTGGTCATTGTCCTGGTCACCAGGGCCATTCCATGACTAACCTGGATTTGGTATGTGTTTTGCTGCAGGCAGGGACAACTGACAGTTGAGCTCCTGTTGCTTCCTTCATCCCTTTAAGCCATAGACCTCACTGTTTGCTAATACAGAGCAGTTTGGGAGACAGCCCATGTATTTGGCTACTGGTAAGTAGTGTAGTCAAATTAAGGAAGCCCAAGTTAATTCCTGTGATGTCCCTGCCTGGAAGTCTGTGATCTTGATAACCTAGGCAGCTGGGGTTGTCGTTTGCAAGCTTATGAGTCCCACATGATTCCCAACAAATTCAAATGTAGAAATTGTGCATCAGACATCCTCAATCTCTTCAAATTACTCTGCTCTCTGTGATCAACATCTGTAGCCTTAGTTTGGCATCTGTGGTTCTTCACAAACCCAGAGTATCTAGGCTTCATGCTGAAGGGAGTGGAGAGCTACACATGGAGGAGGCAGAGGCCTGAGTTTACCTTTTGGAAAGGAAAAATGGGGAAGAGCTGACATAAATGTAAGGCACCAGAAACAACTGGAAGTAACTGACTGAAAGACTCATGTAGATAGTCTGCAAAGTGTTCCATGATCCTGCCTCTTGAGAGGCACTACAACTATTCACTACTTTCCCCAGAGTGACTTTCACTGCCTCTGTCTTCCTGATCACAGCCCAGGGAAGTTCCCAGAGAAACACTGCACAAAGTAGGAGTGCCTGAAAGTCTTTAT